GCCAGGTCAGGCAGAAGTGTTTGGGCCCCACGCGACACATTGAGCAGCCGGCATGTCCTGTGCGGCTTTTAAAACCAGGGCAGGCCAGGAGCAGCTGTAGTCGGGCTCTGGAGCATAAAGAACGGTGTTTTATAACTGGTCGCTCTTCTAGGGCCTGCACATTGCCCCTGTGGGGTCTCTAAAAGTCAACGGAGAAAATTGTCAGAAGGCTCAGGTTTACTCTGCAGCAGTCCACACTAGCACTAAGGTGTTTGTAGGGTTTCTGCAGTTCTGGTGTGCCGAACATGACTGGCTCAGAAAAAAAGACGTGCTCTTGCAATGAAGGCTCTGAACCGGCACATGCAAGTGCTGGGTTCCCTCGGATTTCCAGAGCAACACGGGACAAGTGACTTGAGCCCAAATCTGCAAATGTGCAGTGCAGCTGGGCTCCTACTGAGATAAATGGGAATGAAACATCTAAACATCTTTGTGGATCTGAACCCTTACCTATTCTGAAAGTGGGGGCAGCAATCCTGTATTTCTTCAACTTTCTGCCAGTCTGGTTTACTTAGACTAAAAAATTGTGAGAATAAAACTGTTTTCTTGGTATTTGTGCATGGGCCCTGGCATAAGATTTGTCTCAGCCAAGGCCTTCCAGCACTACCACACGCCAGATTTGTCAGAGTCTTGTGCTAAATGTGGGAGTGCAATACAATAACAAATTCATCTTCATTTTGGTCCGTGTTTTTAGCCTGATTTCCTAAGGGAAAACAAAGTTTTACGCAGTCATGCTCAGGATGACTGTTCAGGTTTGTGGGGTCCTTGGCTCTGCTTTTTGCCCTATCAATCTCTGTCCATAGGCCAATTTCACCCAAATCTGGGAGAGTCTCAAAACCCATCAATGGCCAAACATTGGATAGAGACCTAATTACTCCTCCTAGCACAGAGAAATCTGAACTCAACCCTTATAAGCCATCAGAAGATGGAGAAGAGCAAGAAAAGGTGAAAATGTGAGATCATGGTGTGATGTGAGTAGGTACCAGAGAATCCACCCTTCAATTAAAGCGGTAATTTTGTGTGCATTCTCTAGTGTTTAATATGATGCAGAGTGGGTGATGACTTTCTTTCAGCTGAAACTCCTCTCTCTCCCAGGATGCTTCTCTGGTGTCTTATACAGGGCAAGTTCACGCTGCAGGCAGGACTTGGTCAAGCACTCGGTCATCCACAGAGCACCAACCTAAAGAGACCCAGGCTTCCTGAGGCCCAGAGGTAATGTAGCTGCTTGTTCTTCTACATGTGTGTGCACTTCAATGAAGAGAGGCAGTCTGCAGACTCTGAGAGTCATTCTGGGGATCTCCAGACATATAAAATCAAGCAATTTCTTGTGCAAGTGACCCCAGCGAGGTCAGAGTAATGACAAGTCTGTGGGACTGCTCGCGCCAGTAGTTGCCCGCTATTGTGCAAAGTCTTGTCCTCAGGAAATGAATCCTCCTACCTGCCTCACGTGCTATTTGAGGAGCTGTGACTAGTCAGTGTTGCTCAATCTGGCAGGAAATCATTATCTCCTGGCAACATCTCACTGCTCTGAAATTGTCTCTTACCTCAGAATAAGCCCCGCAGTCCTCTGACTGACAAAGGTTTCACTTGATACCATTACTTTTCCTTTCTCTTTTAAAGATTGCAGAGTTCCCAGCAGTGTCTTCTCCAAATACACTGAGCAGAACATTAACCCAGTGCATTCACTCAGGAAGGTGTTTGTGTTTCCACTAAGGACAGCAAGGAGGATTTTACACATCTGTAACGCATGTGGTCACCCTCGATCTTTCCCTTGACTCCCTACCTAAATAGCCGGGGTGGATTGGATGCTAAGCAACATTCAGACTTGGTGAGCCTCTCATCTTGTCAGCTGTGTGTTGAGGCACGTGAAGTCATTTGGCGTAACAGTGCGGTTGTTGTAGCTTTGTTTAATCCTGCCTCCTTTACCTTTCTGTAAGTCAGTACCACCATCTGCTCTGAAAGCTGTGCACCAGCCCCTTGGCCCCCGCAGCACTGGATGAAACCTTTCCAGGGCTCTGTGCTGGATCATCCAGGGGCCATATGGAGCTGCCTAAGAGGCAAGGAAGCTCTGCTCACACTCCAAGCTTGCTGCCTTCCTTGCTAGATTCCAGCTCCAAGAGACAAAGCTGCACCTAAGCTTGGCCTGTGCACACAATGGTAAAAAGCTCAGTTGCTATCACTGCTCGTGAAGGATAATTAATGTGAAAGTACTTTTCTTGAGCTGTCCAGTAGGTCCCCATTTCAGCTTTGTTCAGTAAAGCACTTAAGCATGTGCTTAAAATTAAGTGTGCTGCTGACTGGAGGCCTTGGACAACAAATATGCTACTGGAAATGTATCTGGGCCATACATTTATTAGTCTGCCTAAAAGCCCTGTTATTTCTTCTTCAGTTCTGATGTAAATCACGTCTTTCAAAAGCCACAGTTGTGGGTAAATGTCTGATTTTGATAGGCGTTGCGTATTGCAGCTATGGCTGATTTTAAATAAACTTATAGATTCCCAGTACATCTGCAAATGAGACACAGCTTGGCTCCTTTCAGTGGTTTAGTGTTTTTTTGAGAAATCTCTCTTTGAACTACACGTCTGCAGGCTTTTTCTTTTTACTGTCTGTGTGGCCATCCTGCAATTACCTGTGGGTTTATGATCCTTCTCTAGAGAACAAGTTGGTCGGATAGTTTGACGATAAAGAAAGATGGGGGTGATAAAATGGGGCAGAGTATGATATCGGTTACAAGTGTCAAACGAGTGTCCCTCCAGATTTACACTGCTGCAGCTTGGCTATGGATCTTGCTCCAAGATGTGCTGGAAATGGTCCTTGCAATATTTTTGGAGTTAGTTCTGTTGAGTAAAAGTGTATCATCAAGAATTGGGTGTCTTCGTGACTGCCGTGAAGACAGGCTGGGGCGTGCAACTCAATGGCAAAGGAAATGGAAGGGAAATCTGTGGGAGCAGGAGGAAGAAACTGGAACATGTTTTTAAAAGGTTTACGGCTAGGAATTTATTTCCTTCACCCTGGTTCAAGGCTGGGCAACAGTGAACAATGAAGGAGCCAAAGTTGCCTCTGAAATTGAAGTGAGCACACAAAGCAAGGCTGTAATTCTCCAAAGCAGCGATAGATTTTGGGAACCTGCTTGCAATGCGCTGGAAGGACTGGGGGAGTTCAGGTGAGTGGTCAAATCCCCTTGGAAAACTTGATTTCTATGAGCTGAATGGCAAACAGATCACCAAATCATCATTTCCAGGTGAGATGCTTGCTCATAAACATCGCCTCTGATTATTCCTGTGCAAGATCAAGTGTTCAGATCTGTGAAAACCCTTGAAATTAAAGAAGCAGGGAGATAAACTCAGGAGCTGAATTGGGCACACACAGGTCAATATGAATCAATGGCGTTGCCCAAATCTGAAGTTGGTGCAGAGCTTGGCCTTAGATCAGCTATTTTTAATAGTTAGTAGCGCGGGGGCACAATCAGTCTATATTTACATCAGCCAATATTTGTGTTTAGTGTGTAATTACCACCGGCCCTGTTTACGCATATAATTAACGGTTTGACATCGCATCCCGCTGGGTTGACATCTGTAGAATTCAAAAAGGGCTCAGGATCTCCAAAGAGTGTTTTTGTTTCAGGTTAGACGTGGTCTGATTGTCTAAATTAAAGACATGTCAAACCACATGAAAAGTTCAGGACAGAAGGTAACCACACAGGACGTGGCATGCGGGCCAGGTAATCACAGCGCTGGAAAGAATGGCCACACTTGTGAGCCCTGCTCCTCGACGGGCTTTGGAAAAAAAAAAGAAAAAAGAAAAAAAGCTCCTTTTTTTTGTTTTTAATAGGAAATAAAAATTAGTAAATGCAACTCCTGGCTGCAAGGAAGCACAAATAAAGCGAAACAGATGTTCATTAGCTAATCACTTGCAATTTTTCCCCTCTTGTCCTTGATGGAGGAAAAGAAAATTGAGCATGTGGGAACTTGCCCGTTGAGAAAACATTTGGATCTTCAGTCATTTATCTGTTTCACCTCTGACTCGGTTCAGGCCTCCGTTAAAAGGCAGGCGGGGTGCTATCAGAAAGAAAGGTCAGCGGGGATCACTTCAGATGCTTTTCAGCTGGGGTAACCCTTGAGGCTATCCTTGCTTTTGTGGGCATGGAGAGTCAGTTAAAAACAAAACAGAAAACCAAACAAAAATCCAGGGAGAGCCGTGGAGCTTTGAACTACATCACTTGCGTTTGTCTTATTCCTAAATTACGGTGTCATTTCTGTACCGTGCTCGTTATAATGACATGCATACATCAGGAAATGTATTTATTGCAGAAATATCTGAATTCTGAATGGCAAGCTGCTTATTTCTCAGTGTCATCAATGGAAAGCAACATCACCTTTATTCCCTTTGGATCGAACCCATTTTCTTTTCCTCCCTGCTTAAAACGAGACAAAACCACGTGCAACTTTTTATTATTGATCAAATCCCCCAGTGGATTTGATCAATAACAAAATGCTAGCACGTAAAGGCAGCGATGTCCACAAGCATCAAACCATATGCCTCCTTCGTCACGGGGTTACTACATTAGGTAAAATTACAGTAACTCAGCCAACACCTCTTTCATTAGAGGTATTTGCTTTGTGTTTTAACGAGGTTCATTTAACAGTGTTAATTTTAATGCACAGTGGCATAATGGTTCCTCAAAGCCTGGCACGACACAACAGGGCAGGTGTAGGATCTTGCCTACCAGACTGTAGAAACATAGAAAAATTAAGGTTGGAGAAGACCTTCAAGATCATCTGGTCCATCCCCCTACCACCAACATCACCCACTGTAGTGAAACTGTCCTCATCATGTCTTCGTGTCATATCAGAACTGGCTCACTGTGAGGTGCTTTACTTGGGAGTGCTGGTTTGGGACAGTCCAAATGGTTTTTGTATTTAAGGGCTAGGCTTTATTTGTTTTTTCTTTTCTTTTCATTCCAGTAGCACTGAGGTTCATGATCATTCTGCTCCTGCTGGAAATGAGCTCCACAGCCCCAGACCAGCTGGCGAGAGGGTGCCTACGTGGTGGAGTTTCCACTGAGGCCGGTGGATCTGCCATTCCTGAGGAAACTGGACATCAGGAGAAGTCACGGACAGAACGAGTGAGGTAACAACCTGAATAATTTGTGTGAGTCCAACTGACTGCATGACAACAGTAAGTAGCATAAGAAGGAAAGCTATCTGGCTGGGTATATGAGCGTAGTGCTTCAAGGATTCATCTTGGGGACGGATCTTATTTAATATTTTCATGAATGGCCTTGGCACAAAACAGAGCGTGTTGCTGAAGCCTGCTGATGACACAAACTTGGGAGGCGTGCCATACGGAAAGAACTGGATGACCTTGAAGACTGGAGTAATAGAAATGAGATGAAATCCAGTAGTGCAAAATGCAAAGTCATGAGTTTAGGGAGTAACAAGAATTTCCACTATAAACTGGAGACTTGTCAGCTGTAAATGACAAAGGAGAAGAAGCACATGTGGCTTGCTCCGTTGCAGGATGGGGCCTTTGAAAAGGTATGTACAGCTTCAAATGTTTCCTGGGAGGTATTTCTTCCTGTGGAAGGTAGGTATGGCATTTTACAGGAACTGGTAAAGCCTCACGTGGCATCCTGTGGACGAGTCTGGTCTCCTTGTTCCTGAAGTGTGAGTTTGGCTCATGCAGAAAAAGATGGTGAAGATGTTGGGGGAATGGAGAGCTCTTTGAGAGAATGGAGAGGTCTTTGAGAGAATCACAGAATCGCAGGATGGTTTGGGTTGGAAGGGTCCTTAAAGATCATCTCATTCCAACCCCCTGCCTCGTCAGGGACACCTCCCCATAGACCAGGCTGCCCCCAGCCCCATCCCTAGAGGAAGGTTTGGGACCATGTGGAGTAGAGAGGCTGGAAAACAGCCTTCCAGGAGGAGCTGGGGACAAATAGCACCTTATTATAAGAAGGAACTTGGTGTGTTTGTGGGAAGGATGATAGCACCTGGGCTTGGAGGATGCAGACTTTGGGGGCTGTTTCCTGGGGAGTGCTGAGCCTCGAAGGACTTGGCTTTCAGTGGGATTTACACCAGGGGTCATACCAGAAGTCTTTTTAGGGCTAGGAATTGCCCTACCTGGACAGGACCTTATTTTCAAGGGACTAAAGCTCCTGTTACCTGGTAGGGGCAGTAAACTGGTGATGTCTCAGGGTGCTTCACTACTTACCCAGCTTTGTGCAGAAAGAGGTGGGCGGGAATCAGACAGTTTGTATTTTGACTCCCTTGGTGTGTATGTGTTTAATCTGGTTGTGTCAATGGATACTGCACCCGATCCTGTGGTTTTGTGTGTTGATTCTGTGTGTGGTGTGTGTTTTTCGGGTGTTCGGGTTGGTTTATGTTCCTGGGTGTCTACGTGACCCGGTTAATACCCCCAGGTTAATGCAAATGCAAACAGACACCAAAGGAAGGCCTGGCCAAAAATTGTGTGTTGCACAGCACACAACTGGCCATCGCTGCATTTGTCAGATAAACAGGGAATGGGATCTATTAACCCAGTAGTGAGCGGAGAGTGCACTTGTTAGCTTGTCAGTGGTGACTAAAAGTAAGCATTTAGGTCTGAAGTAGCAGTAACAGATAAATATGAGTTCTGAGTATTGTCATTTTTCAGCTGCTAGGCAAAAGCAATGCCTTGTTTTTGCTGTGTCCCTCATCCTCTGAACAAGTTTTCCACGGGGCTCAAAGGAACCTTCTACCCTCGCCTTAAATGTTGCGTTTTCTACTCCAGAGCTGAGAAATAAACCGAATATCTACCCTCTCAGCTGAATTTCCAAAGGATTTCCAAAAACCCACGTGCTGTCCAAAAAAAGAAAAACCAAACCAAACCAACCAACCAAAAAAAGGAAGAGAAACTTCAAAAGAGAGGGAAACAAATGAGAAGAAGTTAGAAATGGTTTCGGGAAAGGAGATCACTGTCCCTCCGTGCAGCCCGAGCCTGAGGCATCCCAGCAGGGAACAAGCCTCCAGCAGGGAAGGTGAGCTGGTTTCACTGCTCTGGCTCAGCTGGGAAAGTGCCAGCCAGGCTTCCCTGAATCAGCAGGCACCTGGCTGTCCGTGCAGCTTGCGGGTGCTGATTGTTGCCCTGATTTCAGTGGCTCTTGCAGGGTTAAAGTTAAGCATGTGCTTCAGGCCTTCCTGGAGCTGAGCCAGGCTAAGCTACCTCGCTAGATGCTGGCCCAAAGCAATTCCTGAAAGCTCTGTCTTTCCATCAGGCAATCCCTCGACTTGCAAGCTATCAAATACTTGGAGCTGCCTAAGCTGTAGGTTATTTTCTGGTACCTTGCAGTTTCCCCCAGCACCGTGTTTAGGAGCTTGTGTGAATTCTGTTCCCATATTTCACTGTTGGAGTCCTCCGCTGTGGCCATTTCCATAGCATGGCCCTGCACATCTGGCCACTTCTAATAACCCTGGGGGAAGCGTGTCAGGGTAACACTCACATCTCTCTTTCTTTCCTTTGCTAGCCGAAGTGTTGAGCTCCCCAGAAAGATCTGAAGAGATGGGTAATGCAAAGAGCAAAAATTGTGCGATGTGAAGGAAGGAGGAAGCCAAAGAAAAGCCAGAGAAGGCTTTGTAGCCTGCAGCTTTCCTCTCACTTGATCTGACCTGAAGCACAAGGTGGGCAAACACTTTTTTCCTGTAGATGGCAATTGCCACAATTGAACGGGTATTCACGCTGTGGTTCTTTCCATCTACGTGGAGTGGGGACTAAAAAAAAGTGGATTAGGCAGTGAATCAAGCTGAATGTTTTTATTAGGCACAATTCATGAAAAGAAATAGCTGACAGTAAACAACAAACCCAGAGATTTCAGTCTTCTGGCATTGCCTTCCTAGCGAGGAAGGGAGTCCAGCCTGCCCAGCCATAGCTGTCTGTCAGTGGAGATTCAACTTTTTCAGCCCTTCCCTTGCAGCTTCTCAAGAGTGAAGGTCCTGCATCATCCCTGGGTGCTCCAGGAGCTGCTGAGCGAAAAATGCTGTCAATTAAGACGAGGACTGTGGATCCCTGCTGAGGGAGAGCTCACAAAGCCCTGTGTTCTCCACAGGTGAGTGGATCAGCTCCACGTAAAGATGTGGCAGAGGTAATTTGCAAAGACCCTTCATTGCTGAGAGGCCAGCACTCCCTCTATGAGGCTCAGCTGAGGCTGTAGAGGGAAGAGGTGACTCCGGTTCCCTGTGTGAAGAGGGGTGTGAGAAGGGAGGCTTTCTCTCTGCTAAAGAGACCAGAATTTACTGGGCTGCTGAAGCAGAGAGGGGCAGTATATCTCTTGCTCTCTTTGCCCAGGGCATATTGGCTTTTCCTACAGGTTTTGATTGCACCCTTCATTAAAAGAGCCATTCCTCCCTCCAAATTAGGTGGAATTCAGCGCTGAAAGAATCCAGCCCAAGTCCCAGTTTATTTCTCCATAAAACATCTGTATTGTTCTTCCAGGATGGCTCTGCCAAATGAGTCCTCAATAAACCCAAAACCTGGCAATAGACAAAACGCTCCAAAGCGCCTTTTTAATATGGAAAAGTATCCTGCAGTGTCGCAATCTTCCAGCGGAGACCACCCCCTACCCCTGAGAAATGCAGAATAGCACCACGCCACAATTTGCCTGGGGTAAAGCAACAGAGCTGGGCCTACGCTGCTTTACTCCAGCCAGAGGATCTGGCCTCTAGTTTCTTGTTTTCTTTTTCTTTTTAATATTTTTTCCTTTTGTTTTTTCCTAAGATCCACAACTTCTTTTTCCCTTTCTATTTTTTTTTCCTGTGGATAGGAGCTTTGCAAGTTCCTTCTTTTATTGTTAGCTCATTTGGCAGGAGCAAGCAAGCAACAAAAGTGTTTTATTTGGAAATAGTTGAGGGGGAAGTCGACAATGTCCGAGCTCCGCTCTGATTGTGTGAGCTCTGGGAGGTTTTCACCTCTGCTTCCAGGCTGCACCAGGCTGGGATTATCTCATTTGATTTCATTGGATCTGTGCGCAGTAAAGAAGTGGGGAAAATTAAAGGTTAGTGAAGTTTGCCTTTGTGTCACGCTAGAAGCTTTTAGTTATTTCAGTGTAAAGAGCTCTCTCTCTTCCCTCTCTCTGGACTGAAACACCGTGCAATATCCTACTTAGCTGATTTGACTCAATACGTGGAATGTGACTTCCACGGCTTGTTTTCCAGTGCAGAAATGATCCTGAGAAAGAAGCACAGGGGAGATGAGATGCCTGTACTGGCTAAGAGGGAAAAATGTGGTGTGTGAGAGGCACTGGTGGCCGAATTTCCTCCATCTGGGTATCACACTTAGCAACGCTCACTCTTTTATGACCAGTGGTAACGCATGCTATGATTTTGGTCTGTGATGTTGCCTCTGTCTGTCGATTTCTCTCCCAGTCTTTCAGACCCTCTTCACAAAAGCTCTACTCAGCGGAGATTAAAGGCTCCACTCAGCAAAGACTCAAAATAAACCAGAAGCAGCGCCCTAATGCCCACATAACTTTTCCCTTTTCTTCCACAGTTGAGGGTCTTGTGAATCCGTTGGGATCTGCCCCCTTTTGTGCCCTGCACGCTGCACGCACGAGCTGAGGTTTGCCTTTCCTGCTGCGCTCTGCAGGGCCAATCCAAAATAGCTCCGGGCCAGATTTCTAAGAATTCAGCACCCACAGCCAGGGCCGAGCGAGGAAGTCAAGAGCGAGCTTAATGTAATGAGTAGGTAAGGGCTTGTGGCGTGGGGAGGAGCTGCAGTGGCTGGGTATGTTTATGTGGGTGTTAAATGATTCACCCGAGGCCAAAGAGGCCCTCGGTGTCGGCACCAGGATGAGCCCTTCAGAGTACATTGGGGCCGGGAGCAGATATTCAGCCCCTAATTTCCCACCAGGGATAGTTGGGTGAGATTTTCAGAGCTCAGTGCACACAGAGGTGCTGTGCTCTGCTGAAAACCTGGCTGCTTGCTGCAGCAGCTCAGTACGAAGGGGGTTAATCGGGGAATTGCTGCTGAAGAGCAGCTGAAGAGCTCCAGAGGAGCCAGCCCTGACCCCGATAACCTCTCCAGGCTGGGCATGGGCCACGCAGCATCGCTGCACCTGCAGAGCTTCCCCAGCCACCGCCTGCAAATAGTTTCCTGCTTGACTGGGGACTTAGCAGCATTAATTAATTGATGCTTGGAAGAGCACGTGATGATAGAAAAAAGCTGTTTACCGGATAAATTACTAGCACCCCGTGGTCATTTGCAGTTGGAATGTACTATTCCCTGCAGGGGATGACTCGTGTCATTGCTATGTGTTGCTGGAGAGCTGATCAGAGGGCTGTCAAGTGCTTTCCACCACCAAAACCCAAGGCTTTGTCATCAGACGACGATGCACTTTCCCAATTCGTTGTTGGGCTCTCTGCAGCCAGTCCCCAGATCACAAGCCGGGCCTCCAGAATGCCAAGAATCTTTTAAAAAATCATGAGATGGGTTTATTCTGTGCCTGCTACTTTTAGCCTTTCGCATGTGTTCAGGCCATCTCCTGAAGTTTTTTCTTGAAGACCGTAGGGACCACAGATTTTTTTTCTTAAAGCGAAAGTGCTGGAGAGAGCGCCACGGGAGCTTGGGTTTCACATAACATCGGGGAAGATTCACAGGAAAATCACAGGAGCTGGCAACAGAGGGCTTTTCCTTCTGAAAGGGCTGGCACAGCTCGCCACGCAGGCGTTCCAGAGAGCAGCTCCCTCGCTGGTGCCGCTCCAGCTCTGCCGATGCCAGGGGAAGGATGCGAATTTACAGCCGCAGAGGATCTGCCACCCTCAGGCTCGCTGCTGGTCAGTCCCCTCTGTGTTTTTGGGATCACGGAGAAGCACTAGCTGCTTTGATACCTTGCTGGAGGCAGGTGCCAGCTAAGTGAGCACAGCCGTCATCTCCCCTGGGAGCTGCCCTCTGTGTGATGGAGAGGAGGGAAAGCTGAAGCCTTCCTCCCTGCTCCTCTTCACTGCAGGGGTGGCTGGTGCACAGAGGAAAGCCCCAGGGCTTATGTTCAGTGCAACTGTCTAAATAAGGACGGAAGGATTTCAGCATGGAAAACTTGTGCCTTTTCCACTGGCTTTTGCATCCAGACAAGCACAGCTTGTGCCTGCTCTGCTGCTCAGGCTTTCGGGGCACCTGGAAAAGAAAGCTGGCTTTGGAGACAAAGATCCTGCCTTGCTTTTAGGAGGGGACCTCGAGAGTCCGGGCACAGTAGGTTCTCTATATTTTGGGGACAGGATGGCTGCTGTGCTGCTGAGACTGCCTTCTGTGCCTCCCCTGCTGCAATATCACATCACAGTGCTTCCTGGGGTCAGCCCAACAGCATCCATCCAGACGGCGCACAGAAAGCGCAGCTTTTGGAGAGGGGAATATAATTTTAAAGTTGGCCTGAGAAGCCTCCATCTAGTTTTCAGGGTTCCAGAATGTTGTTTTATTAGGATTACAGTCTTGTTCTTCTTAGGTTTCAGCAGGCGTTTATGACTGTTACAACAGGAATGAAAAGCTGGGGCTGGAATCGGCATCGCTTTCTCCTGCCAGGCGCAGGGTTCACGGTGGAGGCCAGACATATGTCTTTCTCCCACAGATGCTACTTTTTTTTTTTCTTTTTCTTTTTTTTTTTTTTTTTTCTGGATGGGGAGGTGAGCTCTGTCCTCTCCCTGGAAGAGAGGGCTGGCAGCAGCTCTGAGCTGAGACGTGGGGGTCCGCTGGCTGAAGGTGATTGCCTGTGTTGGTTCTCATCATTCCCCTCTGCCAAGAGGAGAGACCAGGTCCCAGCAGGTCTGTGGGGAAGATGTTTGTGTATGATGCTGTAGCCTTGCGTTGTTCCTGTCTCCTTTCTCCCATGCCCCATGGACACCTTTCCAAGTTGTCAGAGAGGGCTGGTGAGGGAGAGAGCACTTCAGGGCCCAAATATTCAGTACCTACAGGCTCCGCCCCCCCCTTTTTTTTTTTCCCCTAGAATTCCAGACCTGATATCATTCATCCATCTGTATTTCTTTCCATCAGGTCAAAACTTCTCCTCGAGGAGAAGTCCCAAATCAGAGTGGGGTTCCCTGCCACTGCATAGCCTGTGTTTCTACCTCTGAGGGGCACTGGCAGGAAGGTAAGGGTAAAAGCAGCTCTCTCTGCTCACCACAAGTCCCCTGCTGGTCCTTCCAGGTCTCGGTGGCTGTGCTGATTTGGGGAGCTAAATCCCCATCCCCTGTATTTCCCCCTCCCCCAGAGATGAAGGAGTTCAGCCTGCCCAAACCGTCCCTCTTGGGGTGAAGAACTCTGCCCTCTTCTCGGGGAATTCCTGGCTCTGGGCTTGTTGGACCCTCTGCACGGTAATAATTAGCAGACAAATCCTGCTGACTTGGGAAACTCATCTGAGGGTTTGTTTGTGTGTTTGTTGTTTTTATGAGAAGGTCCATATGCCTTTCAGATTTTGTTATTTTCAGAGAGCTGATGATCTGAGGAACAGAATGAAGAGTTGACATTGTTGGTTGTTTTCTTGGCCTGGTTTAAACAGCAGATGGAGGTTGGTAGAAGGGCTACAGCTCGTTACTTTATCCTGGTGGAATTTGATGAGTTTTATTGCAAAGACAATAGGGCAGATCACGACAGCACTCAACCCAGGGAGAAAAGAGAAAGCTTTGTACCTGGCGGGTACTGATCGTCCGCCAGCGTGCCCTTCATGTGTTGGATCCCATCCAAGAGGTAATGTGGGGATTTCTGTGTGTAGTTAAAGTTTATGAGACTGCCTGCCTAAACGCATGCGTGTGTGTGTGTGTGTAGCGAGGATCCCTAGCATAATACTTAATCAAAATCCAGTTTTACCAGTGATATAAGACAGATAGAGCACCGAGTACAGAGCCTCAGGATCTGCCCCTGCAGCTCAGACGCTGTATCTGGCATACGCAGTAACTGCCAGCACACGTGGTGTGGGACTTCATCGGAAATCCTGAATTTGACCTGGATTTTCCAAATCAGAACCTTGTTTTAAATCTGAAGATGACAGTGCCTGGTAATTCATGCGTTTGCTGATCTCTGGGGCAGTTCTAATTCAACGCTGGTTTCTTTCCAGGGCATGAAAATCCTATCTAACATGCAGTGCCTCTGGAATCTGATTGTTACTCCAAAAAGTGTGCTCACTCAAAGCGTTTCAGAAATGGGCAATAGAGTTTGAGCCATAACTTTATCAGCAGAGCACAGATACTCATCTCTAAGTGCTTGCTGGATCATGTTCCTCCTTTCAACACTCTCCTCTTCCTGCTGAGTAACCTGCACCTAGCGCTGTTTTTATCAGGTTTTTGAGATTATGTCTTGCCCTTTTGCTGGCTGAACTGCCCAGAAATGAGAGCAGGCACCTTATTTTATAACTCTGCTCCTGACTCGATCAGGCTGTAGCTTGAGACTTCTAGTGCTATTCTCGGGGTGCTGTTTGTGAACCCTGCTACCATGATCCATAGAAATCCTTATTCCCCCTTTATTCTTTGCCACGGGTGCCAGCACTGACCTTTCATTCACACCATCCTTCTGCTGTCTTGAGGTTGTTCCCTGAGGTGACTCCTTCAAGTACTGCTGTAGCTGACCCTTGCCTAGTTGTTTCTCCTGTTCCCTGAGCTGCATTTTCACCTGTTTTCCATTCGTTTCCCAGTTTGAATGAATCTCACTCAAATAGGAATGATCAGAGAAGATTTGAGGAATCACCAGTGCCCTCTACAACAGCAATGACTCCTGATGAGCCACTTTCTGTCTGTGTCCACGCAGGGTGGCTCTGCCATCCCAGCAGTACTGGAAAACTAGAGAACTTCGTAGGATGTTGATCCCTTCTTCCTGGTACTGATAATCTCTTTTAACTGTGCTGCAGCACGTTTGGTTAGAAATGCTGCTACATTTTGCAGCAACACTGGTCGAGGCAGTGTTAAATGCAGACATCCCACGGCTGATATTGAGAATTCCTCCAGTAACCTCCCTTCAGTTCAGCTGTTCTGACAGTACAACTTGCTCTCATCTCCATTTTAGCCTATTTATTATCCTCCTTACAGCACTTGTCTTATCCCTATCGTCTCCAGTTTAACTAGTCATTTTGCATGGCAACGTATCAAGGGTTTCCCTGGTCTTTGGATAGAGTTGGCACAAATGGCTGGTGTTGTTATATCCAGGACTGAAGTTTGTCCCTTAGGTCATGTTTTGCCATAGCTTTCTTTGTCCTTTACCCAGTGTTTCTTCTGAAGCTTTACATAATATTGATACTGCTGTTGTGAGCCCATACATGATCAAGTCGTTTTTTTCTCCTTAGATAAAGGCACTGCTTTTTCTTTTCTTTAAATTATCGGTTTCAGCATAATAAATCTTATTATCAGATTTGTAACTCCATGTGTTATGACTTTCAGTATTTAGAGCTGGATTGACATTGCTTCCTCCCAGCTCAAGCACATTCAGCTTTTAAGTTATGCTTGGGTGAGTGACTTCTATATTTCTCCTTGAGGGATTGCTGCAGTCTGGGATGTACCAAATGCAGCTAAAAGAGATGGATCTTTAACTTTGTACACACACATTTATTTATTTTTTTACTTTTTTATTCTCTAGAGACATGCTGTGGATGTGGGGTTTCTACAGTCAGGTAGTTAAGTATCTCAGCAGCATGTCCACTGTCACTAAGATTGTGTATAGATGTTTTAAAACAGGCTTAAGGCATAGATAAAATGTATGTACATAGCATGTTTTTGTTAGCTCCATCTCTAGAGAAGGAAGCCTTTCACTTTCCTGCTAAAGAGGGGTTTTAATATCTGCAGTTTTCATATACTGCAAGTCAAGCATGTGAAGAGACTGTTACCTTTCCAGGACACGCTGCAGGAGGAAGGCAAACCAATGTTAATTTGAAAGCATGGCTGTAATAAGCCTCCTTCGACATCAGACCTCTCTGGATGATGAGCTGGGATCCGTTATGAAAGGATCTTTGTCACGAATTGGCAAACGGAATGGCTGAGATCCAGGGCAACCCTTCTGCAGACATGAAGAGAGTCTGTAACCCGGTATGAACACACTGGAGCTATCGCTGAGGTGCGGGGATGTTATCTCTAGTTGTTGTAACTTTGTATGTTGGTTTAGGTTTTTTTTTTTTTTTTTTTCATCAGAGGAAAGCTGAAGAAACTAGACCTGAAGGAGATAACCTTTCGCAGGTGGAGGAGTGGTGGCTTTCTGGAGAGAGTGATAAATGGTGAAACTTTTGCCAGGTTATTAGTGTCTCCCAGGCTCATTTCACGTGGAATGCAGAGTGGCAGGCTCTCAGAGTGCCACAGGCACCAGGACTGGAGTCTGACATGGTGCTCCAGTCATCAGCATCACACAAACTCTGCACCTCTGACAGCAACAGCCCTGAACTAGGCAAAACCAGTGTGTCCTCAGCTTTTGGGGGTGCTTTCTGTGAGGGTGTGGACATATTCACCGTAAACATTTTTCTGAGCAGCAGTACTAGGAATGGGGAATCCTCTAAATGTGAAGGACAATGTCAGATTATAATTGAAATTCATATTTACTATCTGCTATTCTAGTTCATTCTTTTTCCTCTAGAGTTGCTCTCTGCAAATCTTTCCCCTGCCTGGGAAGTGGTGCTGCAGATCCCCAGCTCTGTGCAGTCACACCATTCAATTTGTTTGGAAGTGCAAGCTGCAGTCTTAAAAACACTTAAAATTCGGTTGTATCTGGGGACATTATCACGAGATAAGTGAAAGGTCTGTTCTTTATCTGAAGAGAAATTTTAGCTCGCAATTTTTATGCCTTGTTGCAAAGAATCAAGACACAACAACTTTGTAAACTGAAGGGCTCAGAGATTATTTGAGAAAACCCTTGAGCAGTGTTTGTTTCCCAGACCTCCTTCTCTGCAACAGGTGAGTCACTCTGGCTGATATTAAAAAATAATAATGAAAAAACTCTTTCCCCCACACAAACCAACCCTAAGGCACACGATTAGCGTGAGTTATTTCACTCACATGCCTGGAGTAGGGCAATGTTTTAAGCAACTAAAGCTGTATTCTTACAATAGGAAGTATTTAATAATCTTTGTAATAGGCAGCAGAGCTATCTGTGCCTTTAACAAAGCCTTTGTTCTGCTAAACCTTATTCACAGGCATTGTTCGGAGAATATATGGAAGTGTTGGCAGGCCCGGTGACCCACGTAACAGTAATGCAGTGGGCTGCTATAAAACAAATGAAAGAAATCTAAGATTTTATTCTGGCAGTCTTAATGTATGTAAAATCAATGACTCCAACTAGCTGGAGCTATAGGTTCTTCGTAGGAAAAATTCCCCACTTGAAATATTTCCATAAGGAAATTTGCTTTAGGAAAAAAATACAAAAAAGATCTGGAGGAAATCCCTATTTTTTCCCCAATTTTTGTTTTTATTCTCACTCTTTCTGCTCGCTTATAAAAGAAAAAGAGTAGTGATTTATTTCATGTACTTGTTTTTATGTACATATTTTTGGTTTAGAAAAAAGAGTCAAAGTATTATTTGTGTTACTTGCTTAGAAAGGGAGAGGGTCAACAAGTGAAAGTTTTATTTTCAAAAGTGAAAATCAAAATCTAAACTCAAGGTTAAAGCAAGTTAAAAGTTTAAGACTTTTTAAAAGGGAAATAGTTTTTCTCATATATACATGCATTTTAAAAATTACTCCTTCTTAGGGAGGAGTCACCTTTTTTAAATGAGAAGAGGGAACATTTCCAACAATTCTCAAATTAAGATGTTCAACATCTTATTTTTCTATAAAATCTTTCATTTGGAATTCAAAAAAAATCCCATTGGGCAGAAAAAAAAAACAAAAAACTTTCAGATAAAATTGTTGCCTTCAATAAATCCCAGATTTTCAATTAAGGAACTTCAAAGTTTGCTTACTTTAACTATTCAAGGTGTAAAATACTGCCTGGTGAAATTGACGGTGGCAAAAGTTGACCCTAAAATTTGCTGGACTCTCTAGCCACACAACATTTCTTTCTAGGCTATTTAACCACGTAACTGAAATATAAAAGCAGGAGGTTCGTTCTGTGCTCAGAGAACTAGGAGTGAAACTTGAATGGTGACAGGGAGTGATTTTATAGGAGGTGCTGAACCTGCTTAATCTGTCTTTTGTGCAGATTTTAACAGGCTGCACCACGTTTTATTTATGTATTTGCCTCTTATTCTCCATCGTTGTTTCAAAGGCGAGCCAAGGAGACTGAAAGAGATTGAAGTGGCCTAAATCGGACCGAGGCCGGCATTTGCTTATCAAAGAGATAATTTTGCAATACTATGGTCTCTCTCCCGACAACGCTGCTGCTAAGGTACACATGAAAGGCAGGTACGGTCTGCGCCCAGAGCCTTGGAGGAAAAGGTGAATGTCCATTTTGCATATCCCATTTGTGTGCTAAATGGCAGTGGTATCTTAAATAGGGCTACAGTGGCAATTAAAATAATGAGATACATAAAAGACACCTGCTTTAAATAAATACAGTAATCTGCCCAAAGCTCCTGAATGGACTGGTATTCAGCGAGAGCCCTGAACCTGCATACATACCTATGCTTAACAACATAATCATTAAAGAACAGAAACCTTTCCTTCTAATCCCCCTCATACAGGACAACATGTGGATGTTAGCATATTTGGACTGCTTTGCATTCCTTCTTGCCTGCTTTTGAGAACATACTACATTTTAAAACTTGTTGGGTTCTTTCATGTTTTATTTGACCCTATGTAATTGCATTCCTGAAGGAATAACAGGCTCCCACAGTGATTTATACCCTGTATTAAATGTCAGTTTTGAAGAGACACAGTTAGCAGTTTGGTTTAACCTCCTGCCTTCCTATGTAAGTTCAAAACTGAAGCGGAGCTCAGGATCCAAGGGGAAAAGTAAAAAGACAAAAATGGACTTAGAGGCAGCGCGGAATGAGACGGACGTGTTCCTGGCCCCTCACCTTTCAGGACGAGATTTCAGAAAGCCATCTCTATTTTTAACTGTAATTTGTGTACTTCCCATGCTGCCCTTGACCAGTTGTGACGGCTGTAAATTAGCGCCAAGTGCTCTGCTTTCCCCGGGCAGACGACTGCAGAGGCTCCAACAATGGGGCCGGAATATTTGTGCTGCAAAATCAACCAAATCAACCCAGTGGGGTTGGCCTGTGTCCCAATAAGAAGGTCAGCGAAATAAATTGTCCTTGTAATTAAGAGTTGCTCCTTTGTTTTTATGTGTGTAACTGTGCGTAAATAGCAAGGCGGGATAGGTATGTTATTACTGTTTTAAATATTTCATTCCCTTTGTAGATTTCCTTACGACACAGTTAACAACTGCTTAATCATACGTTATGACCTAATTATGGGGGATTCAGTTAAATAAATCTTGATGTAATGCTATATTCTTGATGTAATGGCACTCTGATGGCCGCTTTTATGTGCGTGGATGCATTTAAATGTACAAGTAAATGCAGCCTGCGTGAGGATCTGGCACGTGACTTAAATGGTAAGCATCGTTAGAATCACTGCTGGAACAAGTAACAAGAGGAGTTCTTTAAGCACCAATACTCTACATGCACACCCAATTCCTATGCCCAGGAAATAAACATTCTGGTAATCATTTTTTTTTAACATGCAACTGTAATGTTTCATTTTTAGACAGGAGATTTAGCTGCAGCTGCTCCTGTTTTCAGCACTGAAAGCAATAGATTTGATCCACCAAAGCTATGCCCAGACTAGTTTTCCCTAAAATATCTTTTGCATACACAAATGAATGCAAAAGTTTTGTGGGGTCAACCCAGGGAACCACTGGTAGTTGTTCTTATGACTGATTTTTCCACTGCAGTAATTCAGGGCATTCCCATTGCCTTCTGCAAAGCCTCATGTGTCCGTCAGGTGAATGATGAGTACAGAACAGAACGGGCCTGCTGTTTGCCAGGCTGGAAGGCTGACAAGGATCTTCTATTCTGGAGTGAAAAATGTAGGTGATAACGTTGTCTTGGGGTTGGGTTTATCTCGCCAAAGGCAGGTGGCTTGAAGTCATGGAAGAAGTTGCCCTCTGGCAATGCGTGTCACTGTTGACTGTTCAGGGAGCTAATATGGCTAACTTAGACCTGATGCTTGTCTTTCAGATGGATAGAGTTAGGTAAGATGAATCCTGCCGTGTGATATATCCACGGCATCGTGTGTCAGCTTCCCCTGACTCCTAGATGTGCTGCCAGATTGCTCCGTGTGATTGTGCCTTGGGAGGAGACAGGCTGGGATAGGTCCTTCAGCAGCCAAATACATCCAGAAGACAGCAGGTAATCAGTGGATATGGACCTAGGGGTTGCAAGTTAATAGCTCAGGAATATGGCATGAGATTTGCCTTTCAGAGCTTTAGGTGGCAAAATGGTAGGTAGCCATCCCTGCAGTTCTCACACTTTTCAGCAGTGGAGGGGAATAGTTTTGTTTAATGCTGACAGTGTTACCAGTCCAATGCAAAAGGAGCAAATCCTGAACAGAAATGCATTTGCTTCATGGCTTTGAGACTAAGTTCCCCTACAGTCACTAGGATCACCTACAGTAGCTGTCCAACTTCAGGACCAGGAATATCCTGTCTTAAACTGATCAGCATTTCCTCTCTGCTCTTTACTTGCTGTTTGTGCTGCCTAGCTGGGATGGCAGCTCCCACGAGCAGAGCATTGTCCATTCATGCATGAAATGAGCTTGGAGTTCAGCTGTCCTTCTTGCAGAGTGGGAAAATGTGAAGATGAACTTGAGTTAAGGCCCTCAGTCTGGCTCTCTGGTTTAAGCAGACCCATGCACATCGTGGTGTGGCTGTTTGGTTATCATCTGGCTTGGGTGGTGAGGATGGAGAGGTTGTACCCCAGGGTATCAACTCCTTAGCCTCTGATTCAAAGAGGAGGTTAAGCAATGGCAAACAAAGAATCTTAAACCAGTGTGAGGAGAGAAATATCAATTCCTAATCAGCATTGATGCATCATTGTGATTTGATTTAATTGCACCTTCAGTCATTACTTGGTCTCAGTAATAACAGGAATTAGAGAACTGAGTGAGGGTGAGGAGTATCTCCTGGATTTCTCAAATATTTCTGAAAATATTATTAGTATTTTCCAGCCATTCATAACTCTAAAAGCTAAAACAACACCAGCAGAGGGAGACAAACCCTGTTATCAGACTAACCTGGTCTAGCAAGACCTGAAGGAATCACTGCTTTTTTATAGGAACCTGAACTGGAAACCCGAAGGAGGAACTTTGGTGAGGTGTTGTGTGCCATTAAGTCTGTACATGCTTAATAGTGTGCCGTAAGGATAGAAGAAGTCTTCTTAAAAAAAAATGCAAAATCCTTTGGTACCATACTGGATGTTTCATTGGCCAGGAATGTTTCACTTATTTTGGTTGGGTTGCATATGTGTGTGCATGCCTTGCTGAAAAGTGCAGTTACGTTACCTTTATTCAGATGAAAAATCAAAACATTTAAACAAGATTTACCCAAATATTCTTGTATTTTACTGTTTTTTTGTTTCCTTTTTGTGGAGGGAATACTGTCACCAAGCTTGACCCAGGTAAACACTTGGACTTGATCACACCAGAAGTGTTTTCTGGTGAATGGGATGGTTGTTTGAAATGTTTTAATCAGACTGAAGTGTGATGGTTGTGGTTTTCCTGAAGTAGGAAATCAACCCAGACTTCCACAGGTAAGTTAATTTTAATGCCATTTGAAAGAAAATTGCAACCGTGAAGAAAACAAAATCACAACAGCTTTCTCAGGGTGTAAATGGCAGAAAAGATGCCTCAGGTTGGCTAATCTTGCTCTCCAGATGACACAAAAAAGTCCTAAATGGATCCTGAACTACTTTGCTTCCATAAAGTTTAACACCAAAAGAAAATGCTTCCCTTGCTGTGCCTAGCCTCAGCCCCTGTTTCTGGGAGAATGTAAATGGAAGGAAGATGGAAGGAAAGATCTGAAAACAAATGAGAGTCTCTCTTTGTAACATATTTGTTAACCTTTCCATGTTCTGTGAGCTTGTGAAACAATCTTGGTTTGCTTGAGGACAAAAATTGGAAATTTCTTTCACCATTGAATGATTATATTCGTATTTTCTTCACTAATCAGACTGGATTTTATTCCTCTAGCTGTATATCTAAGAGGGTGATGTCCCTGAATCCTTGAGTATGCAGAGGAGCATCCCCTTGTTCGTGTATATTGAATACAGTTTGGGCTGATGAGGCAGCAAATGGCTTTTATGGCGAAGGACTGCCTGCAGTGGCAGGAAGTTGTGATGCATTTTGAAAGCAATTCCATTGCTCTTTGCACTGGGAGTGAACTGGCCGGGCTGGCACAACTGGTGCTGACAGAGCTGGGCTTCAAAATGCAAACCCTGCGTGCGCTGTGGGACCGAGTCACCCAGCAGGAGGTGAGGAGGACGAAGCCCCCCCAGCCAGACGCTGTTCATGCTGCCTGCATCGGTGGGTATCGCTCCCAGACAGGCCAGGATCCGTTTGTCTGGGAGCCCCGCATCTCTTATCTGGAGAAAAGCTCTTGAATGGGGCGCAGAAATGGCATTTTATAGCACGAACCGTAAGAGAAAACACGTGCAGGGGACAGGTCTGTAAAAATCATCCTTTAATTGTCTAGATAGAAATAACTGTGGACGTCTTCAAGTGCACTGCTGCTGCAGATAAAACCAGCTGCAAAAATCTCTGGGAGTGTTCAAGAAAGGTTTTTTCTTTCCCTACCATGGAACAAAGGTACTTGTGAGGACATTGGCTCTTACAAAATACACGCTAGTAGGAAATGTGCCAGAGGGGACCTCGGGAGATCATCTATCCCCCTACCCCAAGGCAAGATTTGCCAGGTCTGAGCCATTCCTGGCAAATCTGCCTCAACAGTGACAGCCTCTGCAGCTCCCCGACTAATTTACTCCAGTGCTCACCTGTCCTTCCTCTTAGGAAACTTGTCTAATGTTTGACCTAAATCCTCCTTGCTGCAATTTAAACCCATTATTTCTTGTCTTATACCCAGTGGACACGAAGAACAATTTATTACCTTCCTATCTGCAACAACCTTTTACATAGTTGAAGGCTGTTATCATGTCTCCCCCTCAGTCTTTTCTTCTCTAGACTAAACAAACCCAATTCTTTCAATCTTTCCTCATAGGTCATGTTTTCTAGACCCCTGATCATTTTTGTTATGGAAATAAACATCCTTTAAATCAAATTCTGTGAATCAATCTTGTGCAGAAAGGAAGGGAAACAGAGAGGTTAGAGTTAGCGGAGGGAACAGGAATCTGGTGGTGAAAGAAGTGAATTTGCTGAGGTCTGTTCAGAGCTCAGCCGTCCGTTCCTTGGGATCAGGAAGTACACCGAACAACATTTTTTCCCCAAGTTTCCTTGGGAAAAATATTCTATGTGTCTACTACCAGAAAAAAAGACAGTGTTTCATTTCCACAGGTTGTGTGGAAGGTGGTCTGTGGAAAAGCATCAGGGGACAATACCACAGTGAGGGCATTTTGACCTGTGTTTTACGTCCATCACATAGACTGAAATCCACTTGCCTGCAGCAGTACCAGTCCTAGGTCTCCAACAAGTGATGTAGGTGGTCCTCAAAAAGCAGTTTAAAACTGGATCATCACTCTTACTTTTAAGAAAGTTTCATCTCTCTGTAGAGTCCTTGTAAGCTGAGTGACACTGAAGAAGCAAGGAGTTAGGAGCCTACCACTGCTAACGTAAAAACAGGGCTGCAGAAGGATCCATAAAAAGTTTCCTGAGCTTATGCTCCTTTGCTCCTTTTTGTCTTCTAAAGCATTATGGGCTGGACTGAAACTATTTGATGTTTTTTTTTTTTTAGGTGCTGGATTGAGGCATCCTATACTGCTAATGCTTCTAGGTGAAGCCTGCAGCATCCTTTTGTTCGTGGTGCATGGGATGAGTGATGCATCGGCTCGGCCTTTTACTCAAAGGTAAGTGTGAGGCTGTGGTAAATCTAGTCTCAGATCAAAGACACTGCAGCCACATGATGTGAAGCATTCAAACAATCACTTTTCTTGAAAAAAATTATTCTGAAGGCTTTATGCTGGGCTCAGATATCACCTGTCTTTCTTTCCCCAGTCTGTATAAATAGTAAAGCCAGCAGGAGCACCAGACTGCATGCTTTGGCTAACTTGAATTGTGTGTGCAAACATCTGATCCAGATTCCTCGTTAATAGACATGGAAACATGGCCTCATTGTTCAGCTCGCGGAACAATGAACCTATAAACGTGGGACAGCATAAAATTTTATAGAAAGAGATGGAGGGCCAAGAGCATCTTAAAGGGAAGTGCACCGATGGGTCTTGAAAAAGAAGTTCAAGGAGGTATGTTAAAGGTAAGGAGATGGAGTGTAGAGGTGACAGAAGGGCAGGTCTTGGTCCTTGCACAGATGATGCTGTAAAGGCAAAAGGTTTTGTGTTGGTACAAAAGGTTTTGTGTCATTTTGTGTTGGTGTATGGTACCTATGTGAATGTGAAGTAATCAGTAGAAAGAGCAAGTAGTTCTTAAGAAAAACTGTATTGAAAGGGCTGTTTTGTAAAGAAACTTCCCAGATGTTCTCTCACCAGAGACGACACTGATTTGACCTGTCAAAGCTGTTAAATTTGAGGCCCTATCTGTGATCAAGATAGCTGAGAGTTCTAAAATTCTTTAGCAGAGGTCCAAAATAAACAAGGTGTGGTGAAGAAAAAAATGCTTTTTGCTCCTTGCAGATTACTGGGACCGGTCTTCCTTTCACTGTCTGATCCAATGGCAAAGGCTCGCTTATCTGCCAAAAACCAGACTCGAGAGGATGCCCGAGCGCTTCCTCTAGCAAAGTGAAGGAGGCCAGGGACAACATTGTGCCTGAGGTGGGACGCATTTGCTCGTGAGATGCCAGTAAACACATTCCAAAAAGCAGTTTTGCTGTGATGAGTTTGGCCATCGTGGTGGAGCTGTATTGTAGTAATAGCCAAGAGAAGGTTCTGGTTTTAGATAGCCTTGTTTTGACAAATATCCCAGCAACAGCACTTCTCTTAACCGGTTGTAAATGGTACCGTAGCAGAATCGGTCTAATAGCAGTCACCTTTCATAACGACAGGCTTCCAGCATCAGATAAAATACGAAAAGTTGTACTTCTGAGATGGTTTCCATGCGACTTTTCCCATATGGGACCCTAAAACCCCAGATGCTTTAAAATGTGCTTAGGGCCCTGTAAGACATGGGGCTATCATTAATTAGCAAAGCCCCTAAGCACGTGTTTAATTTTAAGCATGTGCTTTCCTTTCTCAGGGATCCGTAGGATTTAAGGACTTTAAGTGACTAGGTTTAGGGACACGCTTAAAGATAAGCGTGTGTTTAGTTGCTTTCCTGCACTGGGGCTTTATTTGTTTTTACAGAAATAAGAAAAATGAAAGATCTTATTACAGATCAAACACAAATAAATGTCCAAAACACAGCAGGGAGGCTTTAGGTCTTGGTTCAGAGCCCAGTGAAGTCAATGGAAAAACACCCCGACACCTCAGTGGACATTGGAGCAAAGTCCTCAGAGGACTGATGATGAACCCAGCGCAGAAACTTGCGGAATACCTCATGTTTCTTTGCAAGGTTCCCTTATCTTGTATCCAGATGTTGCTAACAAGGATTTTTATTAGCTGCTGAGAAGTACTAGAGCGGCAGTTTTTCAACTCCTAAAACGCGTGCATATAGAGGCAAGGTAGAAATAGTTTGAAGTGGCGATTACGGTCTCTGGAGCTGTGAGCGCATTTCAAAGCGTCCCAGTTCTTGTCAGTAGAACCATTTCTTGGTCCTGTTGATCTTAAAGTGTTTGTTCTCCTTCTCTCATGAAGTGCAGTGAGGCTAGCGAGACAGCTCCTAGCATGAACGTTGTCTCTTTGTAGAGGGAAAGGTTTATGCAACAGGAACAGCAGGTTCCCTTGAATAGCATTCATCTTTTTTTTTTTTTTGCCTTTAGATCTCTACGGTGTAGACAGCAACACCTGAGTATTCATTTGGTTTCCCTTTTTAGGCATGCAGGGAAATAGCCGCCTTTCAAGAGCATTTTGATCTATTTTTGATGTTTATTTCAGGATGAGAGGATGCTGTACATTTCTGCATTTGATCTGCTGAATTTCCACCTGAGTTTTGATCCTGTGGGCCAGGCTGAAGCTGTCCTTGCTTCTGCAGAGACTGCCCCCAACATCAGCAGACCCACCTGAGCCATCAGCCATAACCCAGCGGGGAAAGTGATCCTGTGCCACCTTGTCAGGCATGTTGTGAAGGTAGATTTGATTATAATGTATGTGCTTCTGCCTCTTTGGAGGAAGGCATCTGGGTTGCAGTACCAGAGCCACGGGAAAAGCTTTGCTCAAGCTAGCAAGCACAGCGCCCATCTCGAGTCTCTGGAGAACTGGGCAGCAATTAGCACTGCTAAGCTGATATTGCTTCATTTTCTATTATTACTTGTGTTTGCTAGGTCAAATTGACACAGGTCTGCAAGGATGTGCTACAGCCACATCAGAGTACCCAGCCAGGGTCTCTGGAGAACTGGTTAAGCTGTTAGTACGTGCAAAACCCATGTGCCTGCGTTGCCTATTATTGCCAGGCCAAACTGACACTGATGTGCCAAGATGTGCCATGGTGACACCTTCATTTTACTCTGGAGGAATACCTTCTGTCACCCCAGGCCTTACTTCCTCATCAATGAAAGACTTTTGGTGGAATGCACTGACAGTAGCTCTGGGATTTGGTATGGTGGGAAAGGTCCTGTACCAGCTGCTTAGCACAATGGTGTTTCTGAATTAAGTTTAATAGAACAAAAGATAAAAAATCGATATTATTTGCAGCTTGGCTGCTTAGTGGGTGAGCCCCCAAAATTCCTTTGATGTTTTATTCATATTTGATATCTTGATCTTTAACTGAGACCCCATTTTAAGTCTAGAGAAAAACAACAACAACAAAAAAAACACAACAATGTTTTCCAAACTCTGAAATGCAAAACCAAATAGTTGGACCTGGCCTTTCTTTTCCTTCATGGTTCAGAGACTGCAAGGAAAATGATTTGAAGCATTTCCTTCTTCTAACACCAAAACAGAGCCTGGCCTTTAAATAAAAAGAAAACTATTTCTGCTGAGTGCTGAGAGCTGTCCTTTCCTTTCAAGCTGTTTTGCAGAACTAGAAGATAGAGATCAATAGGTAAATGTTTAGTCATAGCACTGTAATTATGATATCTGAGATTATGAAGATAGGACACATTTCTTACTTATCCCGTAGAAGAGTTTATTTTTTTACTGTGAGAAACCCAGTCCCTGTCTTAACTTTCTGTAGTCCTCTGAACAGAATCTGTGGTCCTCAGTCACGTTAGAAAAATCACATTGGCTTGAAAAGAAAATGTTAACTTCTTCAATGAGTGGAAAAATACTTCTGTTGCTTAAACGTAGGTAATTAGACTGAGGACTTTCTCCAAAGTAAACCTTGACAATCTAACAATCATCTTTGGCTTTTGCACTGCATGGAGTTTCTCTTACATTGTTAAATGCATTCCATGTTTCAGTAAATGACACCAGGCTCACCAGCAGTGACTGAGTGATTAGTTTATCATCCTCTTAGTGCAGCCATCTAGATCTTTAACTCTTTAAGCAGTGGCATTTAAGACTTGAGAACACCCAGGATCATGCCTGAGGCTTTAGACATTCTCAATTCAAGCAAATCTTGGATATCAAGTGAAAATGAATAAAAGAAAGTAGGTGGATGCATTCTGATAACACTTTAAACAAGTCAGGTAAGCTAAATTGCAGATAAACAGCAGGCTTTTCAAAGAGGAAGCCAATTCCCCTTTCCTGGGACCACTTAGGTCATTAGGTGGCTGAGCAGCATAAAATTACTTGGAGAAAATCTAACAGCATACAAAGGCAGCAAACGGTGACAATCTGCATTTCCTAAGACCCAGGGCTCTGAGGCAGAGTTTTTGCTGTGTTACTCATCTCTCATGGCACAGTAAAAATGAACAATTTTACAAAACATTCGGTTATAACAAGTGTATGCGAGCTGAAACATACGGTGCCGATGCCCTGTGCTAAAATCACATCCATGCAGAGATGTGTAAATGCATAAAGCTTGACAGAGGGTCTTTGGAGAAGGAAAATTCAGAAAAGAAAGGTGCAGGAGAGGATTTTCAGACAGAAGGAAAAGGCTTTGACCTGTGAGCTGCTGACCAGCTGCACCTGCTGCTCAGCATCACGGATCTTCACCTATCATCTGATCCTGCTCAGTAACGCGAGCCAGATCACCATGTGTGCCCTCTGCCATGGGAGACACGGAGCTGCTCACCCTGTGGAGACAAAGTCCTTTGGGACTTCTGTAGCTGGGAAGAGTCAGAAATGAACAAACGCAGCATGTACATGCGTCCAGCAACAGAACAGAAACCAAAGCCCTGCTTTTATTTATTTATTTTTGTTAAAAAAATGCTTTCATAGTTTTGTCCAGTGCCTGTGGTGGGATGTTTTGTTTTGTTTTGTTTTGGTTTGGTTGCAGACTGGACTTGGAGTTTTGCTGGTTTGGGTGAAAGGAGTTTTTGACCAGCAGGGGAAGGTGATCCTGCATGGAAAGGGATGATGCTAGGTATGGTAAATTCTCCATATCCTGAAAAAGGTTGAGAGGGGGTTGGGAGCTATCTCTGAAAGAGCAGAGCTGTGCTCCTGCAGGCACAGACAGACCATGTTAGGTCTCCAATTTTCTGGTGACTGTGGTGTTGCCTCCAGGTGTAGCCATTCTCAGCACTGTAAATACACTCACACACCTGCTTTGAGTAAGCAGACAGTGGAGGTGATCTTGTTGTGCCAATCCTTTCATGGTTCCTCCTCTGTGCTGGTCTCATCTTAGGCTCTTGGTGGCTTCCAGGGAAGCCTCTGAAAAAGGAGCTGTGGTGTTTGGGTAGAGGTTTGGGTCCGCTATCCCTGACCCAAGTCAATAGTGACTCTCAGTCCTCATTGCCTTCTCATTTTATGTTCTGCTCTCCAGTCGTGTGTCTTAATCCACTCCATTTTCTCCTTGCAGTCAAGTCCCAAACCTGCACAGCCCTACCTCTGTCCTTCGCATGCTTAGCCTGGTGTGAAGTGGACAGGCAGCAGGATTTCCTGCCCTGCCTTGCCTCTGCACCTAACTGCTGCGTGGAGAAAGAGAGATGGGAGGTGAGATGACTTGCTGAGGGCCACTGGAGAAGGGGTAGATGAGTGTTTTTGGCAGCCAAAACATTTTTAGCTTGATGCTGTCTTTCTGCTTTCTGTGCCTCAAAGTGCACCACCAGCCTGCCCGGGGGGCTGGTGCTGAGACACAGTGGTGTTACCCTAGCTGTGGCTGTGACACAGAAATCACCGTTTTACAGCCTTCAGTCTTGAGCCCTCTGCTCAAACAGCAGAGTTTTCAGCCCAGTATCTCTTCGTGGCTGGGTGATGCTGTGCACCTGCCAGCTGTGCCATTCTGGGTCACCTTTGCAGAGCTACGCTGCCTGTTGTGACACCTTGGTGCCTCTGAATTCGGCCCCGTTTTCTAGAATTGCACTTGGCCTTGCCTTGGCCCTCTGCCCAGACTGAATTTGCCTTCTTGGTTTTCACTTCTCTCCCATATCGCTTTTCTCTCCTCTTCTGTCTTCCTGCTTATCCTCAGGGGTCTGGTGCTGCAAGCCCTTCTGTCCAAGTGGATGAACCTCCGCATGGATGAGCAGCCCCTTGTGCCCAAGGTCCCATCATACAAGAAAAAGTGAGGCATGGGATGTCCTCAGATGTGCTGCCTTCCTGCAGTTCCTCTTCTTTCTTCAAACAAATTCAGGTAACTCTCCTAAAAGTCTCTCTTCTCCCTTTTTTTTTTTTATGACCCAGTTCTTCAGTTTTATTTCTCCATACGCTGTTTGGTCACTGGGATTTTCAAAATACCATCAGTAGGTCCTGCAAATGGCCTTTAGCAGAAAGCCTGGTTTGCCTGGGGGATTAGCCACGCACGGTGCACACGTACAGCATTGGTTTGCCCACATCATTTGGATAAGGTATCAGGGAGCACAGACTGTCTTTGCATTGAGGCCGGCAGGTCAAGAAATTGGCCTCCCTTCAGTTCAGGGGCCGTGTGGAAGCCAGCCAGTAATCTAAAGCCCTGATGACTATTTCTGGAAAATGCTGGAAACCCACCTCTGACTACAATGTGTTTAATTCCTGGTTTCCAGGCATATTCACTTTTGCTTCTTTCTTACAGGGAAGATTTTGCTTCCATCTCCCAGCAATGTTTCCCTTCTGCTCTTCTTCTCAAGCCAGAGCGATGCAAGGGAGAATCAGCCCAGGGCTTTCTACTCCAGTTGAGATGTGAGGATGTCCCTCCATGATGTATGGGGCAGTGAATGCCCTGACAACAACACCACTTTTATTTCATGTGCTGTAAATGAGAGATCAGGCAACATCCCTGGGTCTTGTTGCTCTCCCAGTATGCTCCCAAGGGTTGGAGTCCAACTAAGATAGATTGAAAGCCTTCTCTTCACTGAGCTGGAGTGTGAGGACCTGTTTAGAACTGATGTTTGGTTTTGCTTTATTTCTGAGAATGGTTCAAAGCACTCTTGTTCTTCCAGAAGGGAGGCTCTGACGTGCCTTTCATTCTAATGTTCTCCTTTCCTCATTTTTTTTAATTACTCTTTGCTGATAAGCATATGCTTAGCCACTTGGCTAAAGTAGGTTCCTGGTGGCTCAGCCAGTGTCACAGGAACACAAAGCTGAACCTAGACCTTCTGAAGTCCAAATCAACTCCTTCATCATAAGGCCAGCCTTCCTCTAGGCATCCCAGTAGTTGCAGCACTGCAGCGAGCCTTTGAACTTCCCAGGGAGCTAAAGGCCTGCTTTAGGCTGCTGAGTCAGTGTCTGTATGTGATGGAAGCAGTGAAGGGGAAAACAGCTAATTGCCTATGGAGGAAAACACCAAAAATTTAATTATGTTTCTCTACTGTTGAGACAAGCTGTGCTCCTTTTCAGGTGCTTTTGGGTAATAGTTACTTACAGAAAGGGTATGGTGGGCTTTGGTGCTACTTACAAGTGTCTTCTGTTGCCCCAGAGCAGAGCAGAGCAGGTAACAGTAAGTAAGAACGCCTCTACCTTGAAAATAAACCCAGAGAACACCTCACTCCTTGGCTCACTTCATCAATAATAAAACAGCTTTGCTGCACAGTAGCGATGGCCTGCTAAGAGGTTCATCAGGAAGGACCAGGGGTTCTTTTAGCTCCTTCCTTCTGGTATACAGGGCATTACCCCTTTCACAGGGAGCAAACCTGTAGGGTATCTGTAGTCAACTGGGTTGCCCTGACAAAGGTGCTGCACTGACATGGATTGTTTTGTGCTAGGAGAAGCCATTGAGGGCCTTGGTCGGATCCTACTGCACTTGGTAAGTTTTAGCCAAGTGTGATGGATACGTGTGTGTCCCTGCATCTGTGTGTGCACATTTATATATGTTATAAAAGGTTATAATATAATATAGTAGGTTATAAAAGCACACAGGGCACTTGGTTGGAACTAGGACAGATGGAACTAGCTTGACCTACAAAGCCCATCCAACCTGCAGCCTTGTATAGAGGTTGTGGGGAAGCAGCCCTTCCCTCTGCACTGATCTCTTGCTCGTCACGTATCTGGGGGAAGCTCATCCTCATACACGTTCACAGTGTAAGGTTGTTGGGTGAGTACTTTCCAAGAGTGATCCTTGGCCTGCTGAGTGCCTGTGAGCACGCACTCGGTCACCAGGCAGCTGGTACAAAGGTACAAAGCCCCAACAGTTTCATTGCTGGAGGTGGAAGCCACAAGGCATGTCCATGCTTCCTACCTGGGGTCAGATGGGAATCCCTAACAGCATTCCTCCTCTCTGTTTTCAGGGGAGGATGCTCACATTAAGGAATATGAAATTCAGAGATGTGCTGACGCCTCTGAGCACTGGTGATAGTGCTTACCCCTAAACTCCTTTGCTATTGCTGAGAATCAAATAGAGCAGATGTGAACACGCTCGGAACAAACTCACTTAAATCCCAGCGTGTTCTCTTACAACTGTTCCTGCAGCAGTTGTCCTGCTCTGCTTATTTATGCCTCGTGCTAGTGTTTGCAATCATTAAAGCTCCTGATGATAGCAGATCTCGAGATACAATTAAAGGACAAAGACAGATGTCAGCACCCCGGAGGTGCCATGTGGTTGTGCGGCGTGGTAGATTTGGCAGTGTTGCTAGACAGCGAGGAAGAGCAAAGCATCTGAAATATCAGAGTCACAGCCGAAGTCAGACACAGCCGCGTATCGGTGCCGGAGACACACTGAAGTGGTTTGTACGCTGAGGGAGCTGCCAGCTCTTGTGGTGTGCTCCAAAAGTATTCATGACTCAACAGATCTGCAAGGAACCTGCTTATCTGAGATATCCACATGGCCTTCTGGTGTTCGTTAGGAGAGCCACGGTCTTTATTAGGAGCAGCTACAATTTCGGAACAGGAAGGATGCGTTTCTCATCCTCTGGATGTCCTTCTTGCTTCTCAGGGATGAGACCAGTCAATGTATAAATGATTTTTCAACAGTTGGCTTAAAGAGGCGCTCATAACACAGATCAGGAGAACTTTAATAACCGACGATTAAAACGGCTTCAGCTTTATTTTATGAATTATATTCCTGAAGCACTTCCCCAAGACCAGGCCTCCTAGTTTTGATGCACTACACAAGCATCTCATAAGGACAATATTTAGCTGCAGAGGCCTTACACTCTCATGGAGCAGACAGGATAATGTATGGATGGAAAGCGAGGCGTGAAGTTTCTAGGCTTGCTCAGTCTTGGGCACCTTCCAAAAGTGGCAGAGTGAACAAGGCAAGTGAAACCAGGAATCATTCTCCCTGCGTGGGACAGCCAACCTCCTCATGGACTTGGAAAACAATAAAATTAATCCTTAAAATTTAAAACCAGAAAGAAGTGGATAATCCTACTGTTTCAGCTGCTGTGTATCTGATTACCAAAGACCGCCTTTATATATTTTTATACTTGTATACTTTTATACTTCCTATACTTTTTAATATTGCCACGCAGTGTTTTTATATTTATTTGTAAAAACAACAAAGCTGTTTGGAATAGCACAGCAGCCCTAAACCTGATTCTCTTGTTTTCTCAGGAGCAGTTCTAGATGTGATCCTGACCTCAGGAGAGACACTTAATGTAAAGCCGAAGGAAACTCCAGGCTGGGCCCGGTCCTGTATTTCAGGAGAGGTACAAATTTCTTTTTTCAAGAGAAAGCATGCAAACACTGGTAGAACAGGCCAGCTCTGGAGCATTCAGAGAAATCCTAAAAATCTCGGTGTGGCTGTAAGAAATGTTCCTTTCGCCATTCAGGCAGCTGGACTTGTTTTCACCGGCTGGAGTCTGGCTCTTTAGTGAAGAGCTACTTTGGAAAATGTAATCCCTTGGAGTTGTTTGCTCGGTTCCCTTTGTTTTAATTGACAAGCTTAGGCGGTTGAAAGGAAAGGGTAGGAGGGAACTGATCTTAGCACACTTATGGGCATCTCCTCCTGTAATTCATGTCATTAAAACGTCTCTGACATATGACTTTATTTATTTATTTATGGTTTTAGGCTTGTTTCTGCTCAAGCACAAATCTGGTGAGACAAGTTTTTTTTTTTCCCAAGGCAGGTTGTTTGCAAACTTTGGAGCCCAAAAGGTGCAGCTGCTCTAAAAATAACAGAGGATACAAGAACTGGTTTGGGAAGGTTTCGCTCTGCCCGAGTCCAGAGGCATCTCCTGAAATGCTGCCATGAGGGGAGAAGTTTGCCTTGTAAACAGAGCCGGCCTCATTTCTAGAGGTGGTGAACGTCGACCTGCAGTGCCCGCTGGTAAGTCTTGAGCACAAGAAACCTGGGAACGGGGCAAATTTTAGTGGCTGGGACTTTATCAGGAACACATCTGGGCAAATCCAAGAAGAGAACACTAATTGCCCCTCAGCTAGCGTCCACCACAAGCAGAGCTGGGCATCTGGGCTCCAGGAGACCTGCCAGCCCCTGGGCTTCTCGCTGCCACCAACAAAACAAGACTTCACTCACAGTTGCAGGCTGTACGTGCACGAATCACCTTGTCTGGCCATTTTTTGCAGGGTGACATCCCCAGGTGAGCTGGCGCCCAGCTTCCAGAGGAGCCCAGCAGCCTCGCTGTCCAGCTGCAGAAGCCCCTGAAGGTTTTTCGTGGAGATCAACGAGGGAGAAACCTGGCTGCAGAGCCCTGAGCACGGCTGGGACCGATCACAGGCGAGAACCTCAGCAGTGCCCCCTCACCCCCGCAAGATGTGATGCTGGCTGAGGTGTGCCTTGCGCAGAGCAGAGACGTAACCTGTCCTATTTTTGATCTGCTGGATCTTTAAAACATATGAGGTTGTATCTACCACTGAATTAAGCAGTGTTTGCTTTTCAAACCTTCCACATTTGTATTTTTAGCTCCATTTTGGCATTGACTTTTTTTGGTTGGAATATATAACACACTCAGTTATTTAGCGTGCCTGGACCGAGTTCAGCCTATGTGTAACTCCACGGGCTTGAGCAGAAGCTACGTTCAAGGTAAATTGCTCTCTATGGGGCTAAGGAAATACAGCTTCTGTAGAAACGCGTTTCAGCTCCTTCAGTAAATGCTACACTATTTCCATCCATGGTTATTCCGTTGTGGTTTGGGTTATGTATTTACATTTTACGGAATAAATACTACAGCTTTCCCCATGACTAACACTTCTTAGTAACCAATAAGCTACTCAAATACACCATTGCCTCCTACAAGAGCCTAAACCACATCGCTCTCCGCTGGCTTTCTGTCCCCAGCTGGCCACCTCCTTGCACAGAGGCATGGTTAACCAGCATTACATAAGTAACTTTTTGGATCTCGCTTGAACGGGACGGCTTCCTAGAGGAGGCACTGGATGCTGTGGGACTGAATCCCTCAGCGACAAAACGTTTCCAGCGCAGCCGCTGTCTGATCCTACCCGAATCTGACTGAGGTCTTCAGGCGAGGAGAGTCACATCTCGCTGCTGCTCCCACAAAGAGGCAGCGAGTTGCTTTTCCCTATCCAGAGGTCTGTTTTCAGAGCAGCGTTGTGCAGGCCCTTGTGTAAACTTTGCTTTTAGACTGGAATATTTTCAATGAAAATGTTATTCGACTTTAAAAAGTTGCACAGCAGCTACTCCAAAAATTGTTTTCCCTTGTTAAGAATAACACACAGTGTGATACATTTGAAATGGTGATAGCAATATTTCACAAATTTTGATGGATTCATAGTCCAAATACCTTGCTAACAGATGTTTCTTTTAAACTCGGAGTGGTATAGGAATAACTCAGAGATATTACAGTGTCAGCACTGCCTTTTATCTGCGTGTGTCCTCTCAGTGACATCCCCGGGCTTTTGTAATGCACGGGTCAGGTCTGAGCTTTAAAAAAAAGAAGTGAAATATGAAAGGAAGTCCTATCTGCTGGCTGTGTGAGCTCCGGGGCAGTGCCTCGGGGCTGTGAGGAAGCTGACGAGCGCTGCCCCGCTCTCGCTCCCTGCTTGGGCACGGCGGCCTGGTGGTTTGTGGGACTCTGCTGCTTTCCACTCATCATTTCTCAGCCGGCTCTTGGTTGTGGTTCATCCGCCAGCTGGGGAGTCCCCACGGCCAACCCTCTGACCGTGTCTTTTGGTCTTAGAGTTTTACAAACCGGTCCCTCTGCGGACGATGCCTTGTCCAACCCAGAGGGGCACCTCAGCAAGGCAAAGGGATGGTGTTTTAACGCCTTGGTGGAGCTCTCTTTCTTTATCACAGGGTTGTTTCACTCTGCCTCTTGTCACTTTGTGGCATCCCGTCCTCTCCCAGGAGCTGCCATCTCCACACCTTGCTCACAGCGTGCCCAGCTGATGTGTGACGGACCCAGACCCCACCAGGGAACAACCTTGAGCCCAGGGATGCCCGGCTTACACTCCTAACCCCAAATCTGGCCCTGCGAAGTGATCTTTGGCAATGCAGGCATTGAGCTGTGCGGCAGGAGCATCCTTCCTCCAGGTGAGCCTGTTGGTAGCCCTCCGTGGTGGCCACGTGCAGCCCCGGGGTGGCTCGTGAAGGTGTCCTTGTGGGGTCAGGGAACCTGCCTGGCTGTCACAGGGGGAAGAGAAGGGAGAGAAAACCCACAGGGCAGGTGGGGAGTGAAGACAGGGATCATTTGTGGCCCCTTCATATCCCTAGGGGCACCTCGCTGTGCCCAAAGGGTGCGAGCAGGGGGGACAGGGGGGCTCTCCCTACATCTCCACACAGCTCCACGCTCCCCTCACACGAAAGCAGAGCCACATCCAGAGCCCAAACTCCCAAACCCTCACCCCTCACCCCTTGGCTTTCCCTGGGGGTTGTGTGCTCAGCGCTGTCCCCCCCATTACCCCTCACACCCTCCCCAAAATCCAGCCCCCCCCCCCCCCTCCTTCAGCCGCAGCCTGGCGGCGGGGCCGGGCCGGGGCCGTCCCCCCGCGGGGCCGGGCGAGCCGGGGGCGGGCCGGGGGGCGGCGGGGCAGGGCCGGGCCGGGCCGGGCCGTGCCGGGCCGGGCTAAAGGGGGGGTGTGCGAGGCTCCACGTGACGGAGGGGCCGGGAGAAAAACCGGGGCCGGCGGCGGCGGCGGCCGCACAGCGCCCGGGCGGCGATCGCGGGAGGCGCTCGGCAGCCGCTGCCCCGGGGGCTTTCGGCGCGCTGGGGCCGGCTCTGGCTCTCCAGAATCATGGACTGTGCTGATATGCCTTGCTTGCTGTCAGTGAGTACAGCCCTCTTCTTCCTCGCCGTGGCTTTAATTTTGATTTTCATTTTTTTTTAATTATTTGAGTTCAACTTTTTTCTTCCAGCCGCCGGCGGCGGGACTCGAACCCGCGGCCGGGCGCCGCAGCCCCGCGATGCGCCCCGGAGCCCCCAACCCACCGGGGGCTTCTTCCCCTTCCCTTTCCCTTTTACCCTTTTTTTTTTTTCTTTTTCCTTTTTTTTTTATTTTTTTTAAGTTTTCTCCTTCTTCTTCTTCTTCTTCTTCTTCTTTTTCTTCTTCTTCGGGTGGGGGGGCTGGCTTCTCACCCTGACTTTCCTTGTTGTTTGTTGTTGCGTGTTTCCCACCCCAGAGACACCATGATTCCTGGTAACCGAATGCTGATGGTCATCCTACTATGCCAAGTCCTGCTAGGAGGTACCAACCATGCTAGCCTGATACCCGAGACCGGCAGGAAGAAAGTCGCCGAGCTTCAGGGACAACAAGCCGGATCCGGACGCCGCTCTGCCCAAAGCCATGAACTCTTGCGGGGTTTCGAAACAACTCTGCTGCAGATGTTTGGGCTGCGAAGGCGGCCTCAGCCCAGCAAGTCAGCCGTCATCCCTACTTACATGCTGGATCTCTACCGGCTCCAGTCCGGGGAAGAGGAGGAAAGCCTCCAGGAAATTAGCCTGCAGTACCCCGAGAGATCGACCAGCCGGGCAAACACCGTGAGGAGTTTCCACCATGAAGGTCAGTGATGGGAGGAGGTAGATTCCCAGCCCCGGTAGCGATTGGGATTTCCATGTGTTTGGAAGCTCACGAACGTGTTTAGAAGCAGGACGTGCCCGGCTCTAAACTTACGGGAGGAAAAACTCCCCCCCAAGCCTGCCGGGCGTGTGGCTGACAGGCACGCTGCCCCGTATTTTTTTTCCAGCATCCTGTGCTTAACCCGAGTTTTGGGGATATTTTGAGGTGCCCGTGCCTCTGCTGACAAGAGCGAGTTTCCTTCGGTCCCTCTGTCTCGGGGTCGCTCCCCGGGCTTGCGTGGATTTAATGGCTCTGGATCGGATGCGGGAGTAAAGCGAGGGCGGGCTCTCGCCCCTGGTGTGTTTCTTTTGAACTATCAAAGCGATCGCTGCCTGGTTTTGCTCTTAAGAAAAAAAAAAAAAAATCCCAAAAACCCCTACTCGAATTTAATACTTACAGCTGTGTGTTTATAAGGTTTATTCAATAGGCCCTTGTAATCTGATCCAAATGTTTCCTAGCGGATGTTTCTTTTCCAAAGTAAATCTGAATTATTAATCCAGCCGCATCATTACGGCGCTGGAATTTGCTTCTCCTTCTCCCCCTGCCCCCTGCGCCCCGTAACAAGGCACCTCTGTGCTCCCTGGCACAGCACCGCTCCGAGGAGATGATTTTGGAGATGGAGCCCTGGGTTAGGGGGGGAGCAAAAGGGGAAAAACCTCCCTGAATATGAAAGGGAGAGGCGGGGAGGACAGACCCTGTCTGGGCACAGGCGTGCGGAGGGTGAGCGAGCGGTGCCAGCACCGCCGGGAGGGATGCGCGGGGGAGCGGAGCGGTGCCGGGCAGGTGAAGCACGGATTCGAGCCGTGGCCGCGCTGGGGAGCTGTGGCTGGGTGCCCTGAGGCTGACATACTCTTGTTTTTTTTCTTTTTTTGTACCGCTTTCCCCCTGCCCCGCTCCCCTCCAGAGCACCTGGAGACCGTCCCGGGCCCCAGCGAGGCTCCCTGGATCCGTTTCGTCTTCAACCTCAGCAGCGTGCCGGAAAACGAGGTGATCTCCTCGGCGGAGCTGCGGCTGTACCGGGAGCAGGTGGAGGAGCCGAGCGCGGCGTGGGAGAGGGGCTTCCACCGGATAAACATTTACGAAGTGATGAAGCCGCTGTCGGAGCGCGCCCAGGCCATTACGCGCCTGTTGGACACGCGGCTGGTGCACCACAACGTGACGCGCTGGGAGACCTTTGATGTGAGCCCGGCCGTGATCCGGTGGACCAAGGACAAGCAGCCGAACCACGGGCTGGTGATCGAGGTGACCCACCTCCACCACGCACAGACTCATCAGGGCAAACACGTCAGGATTAGCCGATCTTTACCTCAAGGGCGCGGGGACTGGGCTCAGCTCAGGCCGCTCCTGGTCACTTTTGGGCACGACGGGCGAGGCCACGCGCTGACCCGCAGAGCCCGCCGGAGCCCCAAGCACCAGCGTTCCCGCAAGAACAAAAAAAACTGCCGCCGCCATGCCCTCTATGTGGATTTCAGCGACGTGGGCTGGAACGACTGGATCGTGGCTCCCCCGGGCTACCAGGCGTTTTACTGCCACGGGGACTGCCCCTTCCCTCTGGCCGACCACCTCAACTCCACCAACCACGCCATTGTGCAGACGCTGGTCAACTCCGTCAACTCCAGCATCCCCAAGGCCTGCTGCGTGCCCACGGAGCTGAGCGCCATCTCCATGCTCTACCTGGATGAGTATGACAAGGTGGTCCTGAAAAACTACCAGGAGATGGTGGTGGAGGGGTGCGGGTGCCGCTGACCCCCCTCCCCTTCCCCGCCGCCCTCTCCTCCCCTTCTCTCTCCCTCCCGTCCCACCCCAGAACTGCTTGCTATAGCTGGACTCTTTTTTTTTTTTCTCTAAACTAAACGTTCACCTTGACCTTATTTATGACTTTATGTGCAAATGTTTTTGACAATAATGATCATATATTTTGACAAAATATATTTATAACTACATATTAAAAGAAAAAAATAAAATGAGTCATTATTTTAAAGGTAAACGCATTTTGTGTCTCACCTCTCAGGGTGCTGCTGAGGCTGTGCTGGCCAGGAGTGCAGCAGGGGATGTATCTCCTCTTTTCCTTCCCCCCTGTCCCTGCTTCCTTCCCCCCCCTTTCCCTTTTTCCCCTAAAAAAGGCTTTGCAAATTTCAGTCTTTCTATTTCTCGCCGAGGTACCGTGGATCCCCCTGTGCTGGGGCTGCGCCACGTGGGAGATGAGGGTCCCTGGAGATTAAGAGCTGCTGCTCCCGGCCGCTGGGAATAGAGCCGACCTTGCTAACCTGGCCCAAGCGTTTGCAAAGCAACCCACCAAAAATGCATTTGAAAAGAAGGTGAAGATTTTACCTGAGGGCTTTATGCTAAACCCACTGGGTTTTATACCCTTCGTCCATCTTCAGGATTCCCCAGGTTTTAAAACTATTAACATTTTCCCCCCCCTCCTCCCCTCCCCTCCCCACTGGAGATTGGCTTCTTTGGGAAGCTTCAAAGGTTTGCACGGGTCCTTTGAAGATCAAATCGCCCCATTACAATGCCAAAAAAAAAAAAAAAAAAAAGATATCTGGAGCAGTTAAATACGTGTTAGCTAATAGCTACCTGTGCTGCGTCCTTTCCAAATTGCTTCCGAGCAGGAAGGTGATCAGAGCCAAACAGGTATGGTTGGAGAGGTAACTGGGGCCCGAAATTCCTGGCTCAAACGCCGTGGAGGGGCTGTGTTTGGTTTGGGAAACAGGGAGCTGGGCCGTGTGGCACCGCGGGGTGCGCGCACGGGGCTCGGCCCTTGTGGGAGTGGGAAGGGAGGGGAGCGGGGGCAGGGTGCATGATGCATTTTTTTTTTCTTTCTTTTTTTTTTTTCCCCTTCTTTTAATGATTGAAGCTCTCCAACCCTCCAAAAGGGGCAGCTTAGCTGAAACCAATAAAAACCGGACTGGAAAGCTTGCCAAAAGCCTTGGCTCCCTGAAGAGTGCAGGTGGAGAGAGGAGATGGGAGCCGCGGGGGGAGGCGAGCATGGCCCCGCGGTTCTCTTGGAAACAACAACACGAAAAAAAAACCCACACAAAAACCACCCCTTGAGCCCCTCTGTGCCAGCCAGGCTTTTCCACCCCACTGTCCCACCGGGCACCCGTGCACGGGGACAAGCTGTGGTGTCCCCTGCGCTCATGGAGAGCCTCCAGGTGGCTCCGTGCCTCCCTGGGGCCACCAGAGCCGGGTCTGCGCAGCCTCCTGGCACTGGGTTTCTGCTGCTGGTGGGCTGCACGGCGCCTGTGGGGCCGTGCTGGGTCAGGGGGGGCTCGCCCCACAACCTGGGAAGCGTGTAGGGGCGGTGGTTCTTGCTGCTGTGTCTCCAGGGGGGGCCCCCTCGGCCCGAGCTGAGGCTCTCATTCCTGCCTTTACAAGGGAAATGCGTGGCCCGGGGCATCGGCGACCTGCTGCCTCCCCTTTGATGCCTGCATATCAGACATAGCCATGCCAGAGAAAGAATTTCATTTTGAAGTGGCATCAGCTAAAGGCTTCTTTCAGCTGCCTGACAGGGCAATTAGGGCGCCGTGCCTCCGCTCGGCCCCGCCGCAGGTAACCCCGCGGGACCCGCAGCAACCCTGGCACCTGCCTCGAGGAAATCACTCTGATTTTTCCCCAAAAGGGGGAGAAAAAAAAAGAAAAAAGGTTGAAGAGGCTTCTCCCAGGTTTGTTTCCCTGCCTGTTGGTGCACCCCGGGTTATCCCGATGGTGCCCCAAAGCCCAGCAGCCCTGTGTGCAGGGAGCTCTGAGCTTTCCATCGTTCTCGTAGCGCCGTGAGACGTCTCCTGACTGCTTTGCTGCGTTCCTGCCGCTTTCTGGGTCTGTTTATTTGGGTGTTTGTTTTTTTGCATTGTGTTTCCATGATGGAATCAAAGCGTCAACCCCGTGGAGGCCGAGGCACCTGCTTTGCCATAGGTGCTGCGAGGGGAGGCGTCCTGGTGCGCATGTGGCTTCGGGAGCTTCTCATTTCCTTTGATTTTCCACCCTGGCACGGGGTTGAGCGGTGGTGAGATCCTACAAGGGCTGTTCTGCCCAGAAACTGTAGGAAACTGCTGATTTTTTGTGCTTTGTTTTTATTTTTATCGTTTTAAATCATGATATTTCAATTATATTAGGGATCTAAACTGCGGGTGTAAACCAGCTGGTGCTGAAAGTGATGCACATAACAAAATATTCCTGGGTGCACCCAGGGGACACCTCCAAACTCCTGCGTGCTGCACAAACCGAGCACAGGGCCAAGGATTTCCCTTCCCGTGCGCCCACATCCCTCTGTCCCCCACGGGTGGCAGGCGGCCGCACGGCCCCCTCTGATCCCAGAGCTATTTAGCGAAGTCAGGAATCAGATAAATCGCTTAAAAACCGGGAAACTACAACAAAGTTGTCAGGGAAGGCAGAATCGGGCCCCTTCCAGCTTCCAGCTGATAACCGGAGGCATTTCTTCCCCATCGTTTGTTTGCTGGTGCTGACCAGAGCGCCCCTCGGGAGAGGGCCGAGAGGTGGCTTTGGGGGAGCTGTGAGTGAAGCGCTGGTGTGGGGAGACCCAGGAATTCGAGGAAGCATTTCTGGGCATTGTTTTGAGCATTTCTTGCAGCAATTGTGTGCTCTGGAGTCAGCCTGGTGGCCGGGCCCCTGTCACCAGGGCTCTGCTTGCCATGGACGCGCCGATTCGGCTTCTCTCTGGTTTATCCGTTTCGGAAACTTACCTTGCTCACGTGGCAAAGAGCTGGAGGTCGGTTTAGTCTCGGGCAGCCAGTGTTTAGCCGTGTTTACAAAGAGTGACAAATAAACCTGCTCTGGAAGCTCCACGATTCCCCTGCGCCGTGGGATGGATTCGCAGACCCAACTCGGCTCGGAGCGGGCGAGCGCTTCGCCGTCGGGGGCTGGCACCGAAATCTCCGGAGCCCCGGCGCACGGAGATTTGAGATAAGGCTCGTCGATTTAATCCCCCCTCTTGCTCAGCAGATGCTGAGTGTCCTCCTGGCAGCTGCGACCCAAAATTTAGCATCCCAGGAAGCACAAGCTGGACAGTAGATGCCCTGAAACTCACCGTGACGCATCTCCGTCTTCGTGCCCACCTCCAGCAGGCTGTGGCTGTTGGTAGAAGTAGTGGTTTGCTCCGGTCCGTGTGGTTTACGGGTGTAGGAAATGAGCAGAGTATCTCAGCAGGGTTTGGTCACCCTTTGCCACTTGTTCGCAGTGGTTTTTGGTGGGGACCACCGGGCGCAGTGTGGTAACGTGGTCCCTGGAGCACCTGGTCAGGGTGCAGGGGCTCTGTCCGCGTGCCAGGAGCTCCCCCCAGAGACCTGGGCTCGCCCTGGTCTCACCCCAACCCCTGTTCTCTTGGCTTGTAGGATCCCGAGAGCCTTCTGGCAGGACTTTCTTCTTCTAGGTGCAAACTCAGCCCCAGGTCAAGTCTTGCAGCGTCGCTCTGGGAAAGGCAGCTGCCCTGGAGATGCCGTCGGGAGGAGCGCAGCTCAGCCAGGCTCTGCTTGTGGCCACAGGGTCTGAGGCATTGCAAATTAGCTTCTAAAAATGCAAATTGATCTGGAAGAGGAGCACCAAGGCTTGAACATCGCTGTTGTGGGACGAGCTCAGAGGCTGTGCTATGGATCCACCAAAGGAAGACCCTTCTTGATGCGCCTGTTCTGCTCGGACACCTCCAGCAAGATTTTTTTGACCCATTCTGAAAATAATTAGCGTGGCCCAGCTCTGGTGGCTTAAAAAACTGCTGCACCTGGGCACTGGGAGGTTCTCCGTGCTCCTCACCTTGGGGTTTTCCACATGGCAGTGGACCTGAAGATCCAACACTGTGCGAGGCGCTGCACGAGCACGCAAGGAGCCACGGTCCCTAGCCTGGAGCCGTGGGACCCCCATGGGTACGAGGAGATGCTGCTGCCCCTCTGTGGGTGAGGATCTCAGGTGGAGACGTTGGGCTGTGCACGTGGGGAGCCAGCAGAGCTATGGGACCACCTCAGCCCCTGCCTTGAGATTCAGCTGCAAAACTCTCCCAGTTTTAGCAGGGTAAGGATGGAAAGCTGTTGATGCTCCTCTCCACTCATAAAAAGTCCGTGCTAACTCTTTCCAGGGGACCATCTGGTGCTGCTTCCTTTCTGAGGATGCTGTAGGAACATCCAGGAACCCAGCAAGCCACTGGTGGTGTTCATCCAAAGTACCCACCAGCATCCGACTCTTTACAGGTCCGGCATCCTGAGCCCAAATTAGGGTTGCTGTATTTAATAGGTTGGCTTGGATTTTACTTCCATAAATGAAGTATAGAATCAGCTTACAAACCTTATTTTTTTAGATCCTATGCCAGTGAGTTCCTCAGCTTACCCGAATATCCCTTTTGAGCTGTTTCTTCCTCTTGGCTGCGGAAGCAAAACCTAAAAATCCATCGTCCATGCCCAGCAGGTCTTGTGGTTTTGGACAGCGAGCTGCCTCTTCTGACCCAGAGATCACCTCTGCCCTGTTCCTACATGCCTGCTGCCCTCCTCCTCTGCTGTGCCCTGGCCTTTAGGTCTCTGTTTTTCCATGGAAGCTGCCCCTTGCTGGTCCTTACCCTTCTCGGTGCTATTTCCAGCTCTGCCAAGCCCAGAAGGCCAGCAGGATTTGGGCAATAGCGGTGGAGGACGGAGACCACTGGTACCACAACATAACCAAGCGTTAATCAGCTTGCAGAAATTGCAAAAATACATTTGTAACGCACGCATCCGTGCCTACAAAAATAATATCGCTTTACACTTTGGGGTTTGGGAATGGCCTGGCTGATGGCAGCTCCGTTGTGGCGTTGCAGAGGGTTTCCCATCTGCTTTCTCTGCTCCCCTGGCTGCTTGTTGCTGGAAATTGGGGCTCATGAGGGGCTGCCTCCTGCTCGCTGGGCACGGGGTGCATCACTTCTCATAGGGAATCACACCCATGGAAGTGATGCTCAGCTTGGACACTGTGCTGAGCAGTTACCTCCGAGGCAAAAGGAGTAGGGATTGC